TAGATATTTTAAGTTCATTAAACGTGTAGTTACAACAAACTACAATTAAAAATTGTTATATTATTGGCAGTACATGATAGACATTTTTACACAGGACAATAATATTAGTTCACACAATATAAAAGTTAGCATTACGGGAATAGTTAGTTAGTGCACCAAAATAACTATAATTACTACACAGAATATATATGTATATATACACATTAATCACCCCCTAAGTACTCCACTTGCTTTCTTTTGCGTTGTTGTTGTTTGTCTTCTTTTGTCTCTCACCATTTCAGCTTCCATTTAACTTTTTGAATGAGAACGAAGAATGTAGATATTTGCCCATTTACAATGACAAATGATCTGCAAACATTATTGGTCCCATAACTTACAATTCCCTCGTGAACTGCGCATTGCCTTCACCAACGACGCAACCTGGATTACAGTTGTGAAATATACCTTTATACTAATAAAAAAGTATTGATCTATAATACTTCACGATTGTAACTTACAACATAACTGATCTTGTCTGCAAAAATAGCTTGCATTTCTTGAAAACACCCGTTTATAAGAAAATATAAACTGTCATTATTATTATGTGATGTTACGAAGAAAATGCTGAAAAAAGTATACAAGTGTATTACTTATTTTAAATTATTATCAAATTTGGATATAAATCAAGAATAAGACTCGATGCCGTACACACCAAAGTTATATGGAAGAATTACTTCAAGCTTTATTTTTTCCCAAGTATTTGTAATCCATCCAAAACATACTTGGGTTTTTTTGTTAATGCGAAGACAATATTTCTATATTTCTTGATGTGCTCCATTGAATGACTAGTTATCATATTGTTCCCATAGACACAATGACTGCAACCTTATAATTTTAAGATGAACCAAATTTATGTAATTTAAATAATGCTTATCCATGCCTGTAAAATTGATGTGTCCTACACAGGTAGGAAAAAATGTATTTTATTAAATTACTATTATTAAATATGTTTACTAATCGTATATGTAAATTATCATATTGATGATGCCTGTAAACTGGCGTCCCTCATGTACAAAATGAGAATATACTGTTATTTATTTATTTATTTATTTAACAACAGGTCCCAAGTAGTTAGACTGGGGTCCGTAAACTCCAACCTAGTCCAGTCACTTCTGGAGTAGTTCAAGTCAGCGTGTTAGGCCCCCTTCTATTCACTCTATATGTCAACGACATATGCAGCTGTTTCTCACTTGGAAAACCATTCATCTTTGCAGATGATCTTAAAGTAGCTTACACATTCCACTGTGATGACTTAGGATACTTTCAGAATGCTGTTCAGGAAGAACTAGATAGAGTAACTGCATGGTCCACATGGAACCTAAAATTCAACCTTAAAATATGTGGTTGGATCTGTTTCGGTGCACCCTCAACAAATATCAAACTGGTACTTCAATCTGTTGACTTGCCCAAACTCCAAAGTGTTGTTGGCCTAGGACTCAGGCACTCTAGTGACCTGACATTTTCCGAGCAAGTGGCAACACAGACGCGTAAATCGAGGATGCTCTTAGGAGGCATACTCAGGAATTTCCACAACAACGTAGCAAAACTATTATTATATAAATCTTGTGTCAGACCACTACTTGAATATTGTCCATTTATTCTCAGCAGCACTCGCGTAAGTGACAAACGTAAAATAGAAAGCGTCCAACGATACTTCAAGTCTAGACTACTACTATTTGACTGCGAAAAGTACTACACATCAAGGAGTATAACTCTAGGTATCAACCCACTCTAGATGAGACGACTGAGCATTAACCTAACATTCTTCTTTAAAATCTTGCATAAAATATCATTCTCAGACAGCAAGGAGGTACAGTTCTCACCGGAAGGCTCATACAACCTTCGTAACCAAACGTGCAAAGTAACTAGGAAAAACTGTAAGACAGCACTCCGTGCAAACTTCTTCATAGTCATGTACTCTAAGATCTGGAACAGTTTACCCCTAGAAATAAGGACCAGTCACTCTACCATAACCTTCAGACGCTTGCTATATAAACTGTTTCATCCCAATGACCATGCCAATCACACCGCACCACTTATTTCTAAAACGCATGAGCTATTAGAACACTTTAACGCCTAGACTCATTACTAAATGTTACGACACTAAATAAACTCTAAGACTTTGCAAAAATACATGAAAGAACAACTAGATTATAGGTAGTGTTTGCTATGCAATGATATACATTTATAAACATTTATATATACATAAAATATTATTGTTCTTTCCATACTCACATACTTTCTCTTTCTGAGATTCTGTTGATGAGCCTGCACTTCGATATACCTCCTGGTCGAGGTCGAACAACACAACATCTACACTGAAATGAACATTCAAGTAAATTCAAACTCAAATTCCATGAACGATCCCATGCTAACATTTGAAAACGCTGGGCAACATCCTGTACAAGAAGTATTCTTGGTCTGAAATAAAGAAGCAACTGGTTTTCAAACAGTTTTCAATGTATTACTCAACTTACATGTACAGTCTGCCATGCTGACACCAATGGCGCCAATGGATAGTTCTGGAATCGACATCAGCCCCATTTGATGCAGTAAAACAATCCAACATGACCTTATCTAGTTTCCGTATCCACAATCAAATTTCTTTCCTATTATAAAACTACGATAAGACTGCTGCAAAAATGGAATAAATATATCACTGACCTCAAAATAATACATTATTAAACTTCAACTCAAGGATGCTGTTCACAATAAAGTTATAAAGGAGAATTGACTGCAAGCTTTATTTTTCCCAGATATTTGCATTACATTCATCTGATGTCTGGGTTTTTGTTAATGCGAAGACAATATTTCTATATCTCTTTATGTGTTACACAGACAGACTATTTAGCAGACTGTTCTGACTGAGTCTAATGTCAGAAAGAACGAACGAACTGTAAATTCAACATACATCGAAATTTGTGTATTTTATATAATAACTTATCCACGCCTGTACAATTGGTATGTTCCCGCATAAACAGGAATAAATATATATTATTTTCATAACATAACTGATCTTTTCTGTAAAATAGCTTCCATTTCTTGAAAACACCCGTTTATTAGGAAATATAAACCATCATTATTATTAGCTTATCTTGAGTACTATTCACTTATGATGTTACGAAGAAAATGCTGACAAAAATATACAAGTGTTTTGCTTATTTTAAATTATTATCAAATTTGGATATAAATCAAGAATAAGACTCGATGCCGTACACACCAAAGTTATATGGAGGAATTACTTCAAGGTTTATTTTTTCCCCAAGTATTTGTAATCCATCCAAAACATATTTGGGTTTTTTTGTTAATGCGAAGACAATATTTCTATATTTCTTGATGTGCTCCATTGAATGACTAGTTATCATATTGTTCCCATAGACACAATGACTGCAACCTTATAATTTTAACATGAACCCAATTTATGTAACTTAGATAATACTTATCCATGCCTGTACAATTGGTGTGTCCTACACCAGTAGGAAAAAATGCATTTTATTAAATTACTATAATTAAATATGCTTACTAATCGTATATGTAATTAATCATATTGATGATTCCTGTAAACTGGCGCCCTCATGTATAAAATGAGAATATACGATTATTATTATATATCATTACTAGTGATGCAGTTGAATTAGTCTAATTGGCGAGTAATGCAATACCGATTTTTGTAAAATCCCATTTGAGACCTTGTAAGTAGATCTTCCCTATATTGAGAGTCTGACAATTGATCTCCGTCAACTTTCCCCATGATTCGCGAGATCACTGGGGTTATATTTATAGGTCTGTATTTGCGAGCATTTGACTTATCAGCAGATTTATCGTGTGGAATTATGAAGCTAGTTTTCCACTCATTAGGGTAAGTGTCCGATATTGAGAAGAATTTAAGAAGTAATAGGGGTATATCACACTCACTGTTTTTGAAAATTATGGAAGCAAGGCCATCTGGTCCTGTGCCAGTGGAAGGTTTCAGGCTTTTAACTGCTTGTTCTATTAATTGGTTGGTGAACACAATGCTTCCGAGGAAAGAGCTAGTAAAGGGGCCGGTTTCACCAGGAATGTGCGTTTCTAAACTGAAGTTTGCAAACCATTCACTGAATATTTCACAGATAGTGGCAGGCTCATTGTAGATAACGTTGTCGTGAACTAAATAGGGGATGTCCCTCGTCGACTGCATTCGTTTTTTAGGAAGTGTTGTTAAGTTATAAGCTTTGGAGGTGCTTTCAAGTGCCCTTAATTCTTCGTCGAGGTCCTTTTGAGAGCGTTGGCGCTTGATAGATTCAAGAGACTCATGGATTGAGTGCAGTAGTGATATATCCCTAGTGGAATAGTACTGTTTCTTTAACTTCCTTAACTTATTGCGGCATGCCCTCGGAATGAATTCAGCTTGGTGTCTACTTAATTTCACTACCTTCTTAGGAGCAACAGTATCTAGACAAAGGATAACATTCCTGTAAAATAGGGACACTACAGCCTCCAGGGAGTCAGTGGTAAAATATTCATCCCAGTGACAGAGTCGAATGAGTTCATGGACTAATCCCCAGTCTGTATGTTTGTAACTACGACAAATCAAGCTCCCTGAATCCTGTTTGTTTCCTGTATTTAGTGGTGAGAAAGGCAGAGAGCAGAGTACGTTTCTATGGTCACTACTGGAAAATCTGTTACCAGCATAGGTGGAGACTGGGATTGTGTCATGACAAAACACAAGGTCCAACATGTTGTCACCACGAGTAGGTGTCTGGACGTGTTGCTGCCATCCATAACAGTCGATAGTGGCAAGTAATTCGTCGAAGCGTTGCGGGCCGGAACTACTTAACCAATTGACTTCTGGAAGATTGAAGTCCCCTGCAAATATTTTGTAATTAGTACCAAACGATGAGGCGTGTGCGAATGATTTAGCTAATAACGCATCGGTTTCTTTGGTTGAGCTTGGTGCTCGATAAACACAGCCTATGAGAAGCTTGTACTTATCTCCTTGTAAGACGACCCAGAGTGAATCAGGTACCTCGTTCAGTATTTCATCTTCCACCTTACTGGCTACGAATGAGTTATGTATATATATGAGACATCCTCCACCACGCTTGCAGTCGCTATTTGCACGGTGTACAGTGTAATCATCTATGCCTATATGCACATCAAGTACAGAGTATGAGCACCATGATTCAGTAATCAGAGCTACAGTAGGCTTGGCGATAAATAATAATGTTCTTAGTTCAGATATCTTATTGATTAAGGAACGTGCATTAATTAGCAATATCGTGAATAAGTCACGGGATACTACAAACTGGCTTAAGATATCACCATAACCTAACTCTGTTTGTGCGTCAACAACGCAAGAGTTTATGAATGATACAGGGGTCGGATTGAGTGTCTGTACATCGGGGTTAGAGTGCAGTGAGGTGGTCCTAGGTGCCATGGGTCGTACCGGTGATTCGGGACACTTGGAAAATTTACCATGTGTTCCTGGATATAAGGATAGTGTAGGTTGGGCCTGGGTTGACGGTTAAAACGCATAGCATCAAATGGTCTACCCATCCACGTGCTATCCATCATACCTGTACACACCTTCGTGTTGGTTTTATAACTTAAAGGAAATTGAGAGGGAAGGTGCTTTGGTTGCAAGACTTTGGGGGTTTTGGGGCCTGACTTGCGTTTCGAGAGGAACTTTTCGTAAGAGGTGAGGGTTTTTTGACAGTCTTACTCTCAGCAAGCTTATTGAATACGAAGTATTCTACCCCATCATTAGTCTCAACCCGGCGAAATTTGTTCATTGTGGTGAGGTCACCACGTTTGGGTAAGAATTTCTTTGAACGGCTTGCAGCAGTTCTACCTATTTTAACATCTTTCGGTGAGACGTTATTTACAGGGGTACTGGTATCTAAATCAGTTCCTAGTTCCATTGCCATGCGTGGTTGTTGTGTGGTTTGCTGAATGCTAATGTCAGCATTAGGTGACTGTTGCTGTGCACGATAGCTTTTGGGTAATTCTAAGCTGGAGGAGGTGGCCAGGTTATTACTGCGCATTATTCTGCGCTGACAAGGTGTTTTATCCTGAGCTATGGTTATAGACTTATAACTACTCTTCAGTCTTAGGTGATCGTGACATTTAATAAACTTACTAGAATCAAGGGAATTACTGAACTTAAAAATAATGGGACAGTTAGCCTGGTTAGACTTGTTACGAAGTCTTTTGCATTCACGTGGAACACTAGCCATGCCACAACAGATCAGGATTTTGTGTTTTATAGTCTTCAGAGGCAGAGAATCTGGGACGTTGTAAACTATAGCCTGGTGAGAAGAGGTTATACGCTTCATCACCTCCGCAGCCAAGCAGTCAATCAGATTTTCAGCCTTATTTAGGGTGTCTGGAGACATTTTAGGATGCTTTCTTAACAGACAGGCTATTGAATCTAAATCCGAAAGCTTGTTTTGAGTTGCATTCAGTAAAGACTTAACCTGGCCAATATCAGAACTGCTCTCCGTGATATCTGACATTGGCAGTGACATTCTATCAAACTGACCTAATTTTTCTTGAAGTTCATTTACTTGCCTTTGGATATCTTTCACAAGGAGGTCTAGTTTACAGATCTCAGAGTTCTCTAACAGAACATCTTTCATCTGTATCACAGGAGTGAGAATTGCACTCAAGCCATTTTGTGAGGTAGTAGTTAATGCTGTATTACAGGGTGGTAATGCAGTTATAACCGAGGTTGAGGCACTATCTAAAACAACTGTGTTTCTACGAACATGTTTTTTAGAGATTTGGACCATAATTTCAAGGATTATATGACTATAAGCAGTAAATGAATATCAGAGCAAACGCGTGCAAAAATGTTACCAATTTCGAACGTACCGCCAGAGGAAAAATGCCTATATGCACATCAAGTACAGAGTATGAGCACCATGATTCAGTGATCATAGCTACAGTAGGCTTGGCGATAAATAATAATGTTCTTTGTTCAGATATCTTATTGATTAAGGAACGTGCATTAATTAGCAATATCGTGAATAAGTCACGGGATACTACAAACTGGCTCAAGATGTCACCATATCATAATAAAGGAGTGCGTCGGCCGAGGATCGAACTCCGGACCATATCTATGGTCGGCGAGTGTCCTAACCGCTATACCACCGACGCCTAACAAACAAGTGGTGTAGTCTCTAGGTTCATGCATTAAATGGGCGCACAATTTCTAAATCTCTTACATAGGAATTAGCACTGATTTCACTTGCAAACTCACTTTGTGTGTCATTAAGTGCCTTTTCAAAGGACACCAGTGAGCTTGCTAGTCGCATTTCCTCAGGTAGTTTGTTCCGTATTTGGGCATACGTATTCATGAAAAACTTTTGCCTGGTGGCTCTTTTACATTGTTTTCTAGCCACCGTACCTTTAGTGGGTCTAAAGATATATCCAGTGTCTTGTGAAAACCGAGTACAACAAGTAGGGGTATACTTTGATTTGACACTAGTAACTAGTGTGTTGCGTCTAGTCCTCTCTTTGGTGCAGACTGAATTCTATCAGTCTGTTAGTAATGTGGCCACCATTCTAGGTATACACTGTGTGGTTAAGAAGCTTATAGGAGAGTGCCAGATTTAGTCGCAGTCGTCTTAACCATAATGTTTCTAGTCCTAGAATTTCACATCTGGTAGAGTAGTTTGTGCCTCTTACGGTTCCGAGTACTTTAAGCGTGAGGTACCTCTGCACTCCTGCGACTTTCAGTTTGTCTTCTATGCGTGTACCACTAAATATGAATGAGCAGTAATCTAGGAGTGTATTCACTTCTGTAGAAGTTCCTCAGTGGGAAATCAATAAGCCTGCGTGACTTCGATACTTGTTTCGAGATATGTTCAGAAAATGATAGATTGTGTGAATATTTCAGTCCTAGATCTAGTTCAGATTTGAGTCTGGGGATTTCGTGGCCCTGAATTGCTAGGTCAAGTTCTAGGTTGGGACAGCCCATGCAGAGCCAGCAACACTTTTCGGCATTAAACTCAAGTCTCCAGGTGTCACACTCTATATCCACTTATGTTGATTCTTCATGTATGGAGTTCATAGTTGTACCGATATCTGTGTTTGTGCAGGTATATGCCACCTTTGAGTCATCTGCACAGAGTGTTGGTTTGCCTGTACTAAAGCACTCACATATACTGTTTATGTATATAATAATAATTTATATTTCGTATAGACAGTTAAGTTTGCATGAAATGCATAACATTTTTACAGACACGATCAATTATGATACGACGACTATTCTTAACAAAATCAACACAGTTCAAGCCAAAAAAACACCAGAATCACGTCATATGCACCTACCTAGATGAAACGAAACAAATCAGCGAAAATGAAATAAACTAGACCGCGCGAGTTAAGGTTAAAGGTGGAGGCGCCACTTCAAACACGGGATATGCCATATCAAAGCCCATGAATTAGCATACATTATCATCACATTTCACATTAACGAAAAACCCAAGTATGTTTTGGATGGATTACAAATACTTGGGGAAAAAATAAACCTTGAAGTAATTCCTCCATATAACTTTGGTGTGTACGGCATCGAGTCTTATTCTTGATTTATATCCAAATTTGATAATAATTTAAAATAAGTAAAACACTTGTATACTTTTGTCAGCATTTTCTTCGTAACATCACAAGTTAATGGTACTCACTGTTGACTGATAAATAATGATGGTTTATAGTTTCTAATAAACGGGTGTTTTCAAGAGATGCAAGCTATTTCTGCAGACATGATCAGTTGTGTTGTAAATTACAATCGTGAAGTATTATAAATCAATACTTTTTTTTGGTATAAAGGTATATTTCACAACTGTTATTCAGGTTGTGTCGTGGGGAAAGCTAATGCGTAATTCACGAGGGAATCGTAGGATATGGGACCAATAATATTTGCAGATCATTTGTCATTGTAAATGGTCAAATATCCACATTCTTCATTCTCATCCAAAAAGCCAAATGGAAGCTGAAATGGTGAGAGACAAAAGAAGACAAACAACAGCAACGCAAAAGGAAGCAAGTGGAGTCCTAGGGTGACAGACTGTCTTTTGACATGGTCTACTAGGCTTAAGTTGGCGCGGACATATATGCCTGATCCTTTAAGAATATGAGAGTTGCCTAGAATAGCAACCCTCTCTTCTTTCGAGTTTAGTACGACTTTGAGGAGACGCGCAGGCTGACTTACTGTAGGGTCAGGCTTTTAGCCTATTCTATATACGCTGTGTATAGTAATGCCTGATGCTGTTTGTGGCAGTAGCTTGTCTTAAAGGGGCTTAACCAAATTAAGGTCATGTTCGAATCTAGTCTTGGGATCGGGGGCCAGTTTCTCTTCCAATTTGTGGAGAATGAGTGACCTGTCAGAGGGATCAGGTTTGCTTGCCATGGATTTCTTAATAATAATAATCAGTAATAATGTATATTTCGTATAAACGGGAAAGTTTACATGAAATGCATGCCATTTTTACAGGCACGATCAATTATGTTACGAATTACAATTGTGAATTAGCATACATCATCACTTTTTTTAAAAGTTCAAATTGTTGAATTATAGTACAAGCAGTCGGAACAGATTCTTATAATTGTTAATTTGTAAATCTTTCACGAAGGTCTCCATCGAAGTTGAGCGACAATCCATACTTCGTTCCATCTCCCGATGATGATAGTAATGGCCTATCGATTAACAACATATATTTGAGTGAGTACTGTGACCCCACGTGCTTGAACGCTCTTTCAGGAATGGGAGAAAATCCTGCACAGCTACAAAGTTGTATAAAATGCAATCATGAATAATGCATTATTGGAAGTATATTTACAAGAAAAATATACAAGAACAAGCTGTACAGTACTTGATATGATAGTGCACATTTGCAATGTATGATGCTAACCATATTGGTCTTACCATGGAAAACTATGACGTTTTCTATGAAAATATAGTTATTCTCAAACATGAGTGTTGTTATGTTTTTTTATCATCAGAGCAACCGAACTTTATGCGAGAGAAGAGTGTAAATGAGAAAAAGGAAATAAAATAAAATTTCAGCTTTATTGAAGTCTTAGGGAGTTGAGATAAAATAGAGTATAATAGTAATTAGTTAGAGGGATTATCATGAAGCATATGTGACATTTCAGAGAGAAGTGGATTGAAGGATTAGAACCTGTTGGATATGGTGACCTGTAGCGTGTTTGTCGAACTTGTGTATGACCCATGGGATAACATCTTGACAAGAAAATGAGCAGGCTTGTAGATGTTAGGAGCGAAAGCATTATTTATTTTTCACAAGCTAAAACTGTGCAGTCATTATTGTTTTAGTTTTTTAAATTTTTTTAAGTCTAATTTTTAAAAATTCTTTTATACATTCAGTATCTAAACTCATGTTTATTTCTCGAGCTGCCAAAATAATGCATGTTGCTGTCCTACAGATCGGAGCGATTCACATTTGTGACCACTACCAAACCTGCTGATCAGCATGCGCCACCCTCCCTCCTTTTTTGACATTAAGCTCTGAGACCATTTACAATGACTGCAGTTGTAATGTTGGATTGCTTTGACTCCGTCCCAATCATACAGTATGCTGCACATTAACAGCTTTCATGACAAGTGCTTCCCATTAGGTCACATGGCACAATAATACCAGAGGACATTGTTAGCAGTATTATCATCATACTAGTGAACAAGTGGGTTACTACAAAAGATTAGGAAATTAAGTTTCTCTTAATGATTATGAACTATAGAAATAAGTAATATTAGAGCAACTAAGTCATATTGTATTTAGCAGAGTGATATGAGTAGTGGAACAATTAGTGATAAAGTTATGTAAAGTGGTCCTGAGTAAGGCAACTGGTTAGCAGAACTTGTTATGCTAAATTTTCACGACCGATTTTATATGGTGTGCGTTACACATTGCAAAGTGACTTATCAATTATATAATGAAGAAACTGCATAATTTCACTAATATTAATTTTTTAGAAAATTATATGAAAATGGGTAGGTGCTGACTGAAGATAGTCATTCCAACTCAAAAACAGTACTAATAATATTAATAATATATTTGTAACAAACGCCTAGGAGATTGCGTTTAAGAAGTATGAAGTATACAAGTAGCTGGTATTACAGCAACTAAGTTGTAGTCTATTTAGCAGAGTAAAAAGTGTAGTGGGACAATTAGTGATAAAATTATGTATTATGATCCTGAAGAAAACAGCCGGTTAACAGAGCTAGTTATGCTAAATTTTAATGACCGATTTTCATGCAGTGCGCATTAGACATTGCAAAGTAACCCTCCAACTTATATAATGTTAAAAATACTGTGAAACATCATAATATTATACGTTTTGGGAAAGTGTATGAGAAAAGGTGGTTATTTGCTCAGTGAGGTCATT